TTTCCAGAAGTCCACATATCTGAAATCTTTTGTAAATCATAAATTAATTTTTCTTGCCGAATTTGAAATTCGTTTATTATATTAGATTTAATTCATTGCCGGCTTAGTATCTGATAGCGTGGATCAAGTTTTTTTTATCATATCAATGAATGAACTTTCCTTAACAACAGAAAAAGGTTGCATTCTTAAAATTATCCAATAAATTAAAAAAATTATCAAGTTCAGATTGCTCTTTTCGATTATATGTAATAATTTTTGTTTGTATTTTTTATTTGTTTTTTTTTTCATTATCTGACCTAAGGGAGCTTTTTTTGATCAACTTCGTTTAATTAGGACTTTATAAAAATGGTCAAACAACAAATATTATACGTAAATGAATTCATTATTTATTGCAGAAATTATCTATAAACTGAATTTCTATTAGCACATACTATTTATTGAAAGGTTCCTAGTAAGGAAAATCATAACAAGTCTATTTATCTGGAATCAATTAAAATGATCAAAGTTAAAATCATTAGTTGCATTGTAGTGCTTGTCCTAAAATTTTTAGCCATTTAAACAAGATGTAAGTTTCTAGTTATTTGTAATAGATGTTTTTGCGTTAATCACCGAAAAATAAAAATTGAATAAGTAATTAAAAGTTTCCGTTTACCTAGATTAAGATTAGATGATGATCTTATTATTTTATATTTTTTATAAAAATTTGTGCCCATATTGTAAACAATATCAAATCAATCAAAATGTTAATAATGATTTCTTTGGACACTTCAAAATTATTGAAATACCCAACATTTTTAATTTTCGTAAAATTTATTTAAACGACGTTGTAATAAAAAAATTTTTTTTTTCGTTGCCATTGAGTTTAAAATATGATATTTCTTTGTAAAAAAGAGTAAAAAAAAAAATAAATTATTTTTTTTGATATAAAAGTGAATAATTTCTTTAAGTTCATCGCGGAGTATAACCGGTAATTTATTTATCTCAAAAGGGCGTACAAATCACTTAACGATATAACTCTAGAACATCGTTCTAATTTTTTAGAGGTCACTATATTAGTGATTTGTTATGTTACAGATCATATGATGTAAATAGTCAAAAAAATTTTTTAGTGCTATGGGATGGGAGATCCGGAGATTTTTAACCCACTAACCAAAAAAGTCTAAAAATTAAAAATGAACTTTTTTTTTAGAGGCTAAAGTGTTATCGTTATACAATTTACTTTGTTTTATCGAGGTGCTAATTAAATCAAACTATATATGGTATCATATAAATATTATCTATTGATGTATTATGATATACATAGTATAATAAATAAAATACCACTTGCATTTTATAAACAATTCTAAAATTCGATATGCTTTATTAGTTTTATGCAATACCAATTAATTAAATGAGCTCAGGATACCTTTAAAAAAAGTCAGTATAGAGCTCTTTTTTTAAAAAAAAAAAGCAAAAAATATTTTCTTCTATAAAGTAATTGTTATAATATTCATTTTATGACCTTCGTATTTCTTTTTGGGAAAAAACTTCCTATTACACGAAATTTATACAAAATTTGGAACACAAAAGAAAGTAGAATTCGAATTATGGAAATGTAAAAATTTAGCGATTTGAAATTTATTATAAGAAAGTTTTATATCATATTATTAAATAGCTTAATATATAAAAAAATTTGATTGTAAAATTTATATGATACACTAATAGTATTGATTTAATTAGTTGAACTGAACATCCAATTGATTTTGAAATATGCAACTAAAAACTATAAATAAGATGAAGTTATCAAACTCCCTCATGCTGTGGCAAGCAAGTTTCAATGGGTGAAAAGGTTGGCAGATTATTTATACCATATTCATTAATTCAACAGAAAATGAATATTGGTATGTATATTACAGCGCCAAACGGTGCAAAATATTTACGAGATGTAAAGCTACTTCGAAAATGGTCACTTTTTTTTAATATGATTATAAACATCATTATAATATGGAAGATCTGGTATATTTTATTATAAGGATGTAAAAAATTGTAAAACATATAAGTCTCCGTACATGTAAATTAGTAAACAAACAATAAAGTAATTGATATTTATAAATCGATTGGAAAAATAAAGTCACACTTTTTATGATTATGTTATATTTTTAATTTTTTGATGTACGGTATAAACTTCGAGCTATTAATATATACTGTATGTAGTGGTACCAGCAATCAATCCAAAGATGTCTTTATAATATCCAGGATTATATCTCTAAAAAAAATACACGAATATTCGTGCATAATAGAACGAGATCTTTCGTGTGGTACACGTGACCTAACATATTTATGAAAGTACTGTACATCGATCAATACATTAAAATCGTTCCGTTAAATTTTTTATTTTTTACTATTTTTCAATATACATTTCATAATAACAAGCCTCAAGAGTCTGTCAAGAGTATATTTTATTGTTAATAATAATGTATTCAGAATGTATATATATACCACAAATCTTTCCCAAAAGCTCTCTTAAACAATTCCAAACTTCTAACATTATAATGCAGAATACGCTAAAAAGTCCAGAAGATTTGAGGAACTATACTATACATTAGAGATCCATCTAAACTTGTTCAGGGTTCCGAACTTTTATTGAGTTGTTTAAGTCCTATGATAAAGCAATCATTTCGTTTAGTAATTACCTTATTAGAAAGAAAAGCAAGTTTTAAACTTTTCCTGGATCTCTCCAACTTTTGCCTGATTTTGCTGAAGCAGTTAAACATTGATACAATCACACGCTTAAACATTTCATCTCAGGAAGAAGCTCCGTTTATTATTATTTATAAAAATTATAAAGAGAATGAAAAAGACAAAGCATTCGTTATTTGTCCATACGCTCCTTCCTGTAGGTAGAAATAGGTAAAGTTGTGGTAAATATGAATATAAAAAAACTATTTGTTTTACCAATATTGCTTATTCGTCTATGCCTCACCAACGTAATCTTGATTTTTTAGAGAGAGGAAATCATCTTAAAATATTGATGCGATCTAAATAATAAAAGGTTATTTTTATGATATGATTATTAATTTTATTTATTTTTTTTTATAATCCAAATGAATTGTTTCTACTTAGATTAGGGAGATAATATAGGTCAAATTGTCCTCTGGGCAAGTTGTCCTTTTAAATTCGAGGTATAAGATGATGAATACTTGTTCGAGTTGGAAGGACATGATGTTGAGTGTTTAGAATAGAAATTCCCCGATAATCCCTTAGAATTGATTTTTTATTTAGCCGTTGTGATTTCGCAACGATCTAAATTTAATAAAAATGCTGCCGACTTTGAGGTATTTGATTAATTAACTGTTAATTATTATTAAATAATTTTGCATAATTTTTGCTTAATTTAAGTCCTTCTGCTACTTTTACCTTTGTTTAAAAATATAATTTACAAGAATTGATACATGGTAAAACTCGAGCTTGAAGAACATCTGAATGCAAATTTTTATTTTACTACAAAAATTGTTTCTAATTTAAAAACCACAAAAATTATTTAAATTTAATTTTACGAGATTATAATTCAAAATATTTATCGTATTGATGTAATACTGTAAAAAAAAGAATACCTTTTAATTTATTTTTAAAGAAATGCATTTAAAAAAGTTGTTGTACCTAAAAAAATGAATCGAATCAAATAATATTTTTTTTAAAAAAAAAGGAAAAAATAAAAAGGTTTAAATAATAATGAAATAATGTAATAAAATCTAACGTACTGAAAAAAAATCCTAAATAAAAAAATGGTGAATTAATCAAAAAAAGCCTTGCCTATCATTAAAAATAATCAAAAGATAAAAAGTCATACCAGACCAGATTAATATGAAAGTTTAATAGATAAAAATAAATAAATAAAAAAAAAATATATTTACCAAAAAAGAACCTAATTATACAACACAACTCCTTTACCCTCATAAATATAAATTTATGAATAAGTTAGAAATTGTATAACCTATTATAAAATAGCATTTTTTTATACTATTTTTGTAAAAATAATTCTGCTTCTCCCGTTGGGTATTTACATGAGTCTAATTGAAAATAAATATATTGCGAGTAAATCATAGAAATCGATCAAGGGCTTTTGACCGACCGTTTGTCAACCGACATTTAAAATTATGATTTAATGATCGAAGTAATTGTTATGACTTATTAAGATAAATATGATAATTTTTATTTTCATTTTTACTATTGTAACGCTTGTAAAAACTTCTTATATATATAATATTATATTTCATCACGTACTTTAATAATTTTTAACTTATATAATATGAGTGAAATTATACAAAGAATTATAGTAATAAATCAACTGGTCGGTCAAAAGCATTTGACTGATCACGATTATGACCGGTCATAACCGTGACCATTATCATCCCTATTTATCAGATTTAAATTATAAACTTACTTGACTCGAAGAAGGCTAATAAAACTTTTTCGGCTAAATTAATTAAATATTACGTCGCAAACTATTGTTCTATGGATTTTATTCAAATCGATTTCCACCTTTGGCAATTTAGATTCCGATCCTTACAAATAGTATCTATCTATTACTTTTACTAATTAATAAATGTTGTGCTTTATGAATCGTGAATGAGTCCACTTGCTGAGCCAAAGAAAGAATAAAAGGCATTCGTACATTTTTACTAAAAAATTTATTCAAAAGTAACTTTTTCTCCCGATATTTCTAGTCTCTTTTTTCTAGTTTAAGACTTATTATTGAATAATACTACAGAATAATTTGTAGTAAGATATATTGAGGAAAAAAGAAAAAGAAAATGTGCCAGCCGCAAATTTTTGGACTAGAATAGATATTGATTCTTTATTTAATCCATTCTTAACTTATTAATAAAAGAGTTGTTAAAACATAAGTCATAATTGAACAGTTATTTTAATTAAGATTGATACGAATGATGCAGTACTTATTTCTAAAAGCGTGGTAAACTTTAACAATTGCAACTTATCAAACATTTGCGAATATGAGATTATTCCTTGTTTACAACTATTTCATGGATTCTATTGAAAATAACACTAGCAGCATTCTCCCACGTAAGGTCCAACATAATATTATGAGCAGAACCTCCAATGATATTTAATCCTACACTATAAGCTTCAGCAGTTTCTTTTATAATTTTAAAATCAAACGTTTTATCTTCTTCAGTACTAATCACAATTATGAGACACTTAATTTTCGTAGGGTCAACAAAAGGTTTAAGAAGTTCGAGCATTACAGTGATAAAACTAACCTTATCGAGTTTTGGATGAATATATATAGCCATAGAATCAGGAAATCCTTTTGAAAAGGAAGTTTTCTTCATTAATACAGGAGTTACAATTATTGCGTTTTAAGAATAGGAAGAATTGGGATATTTGAAAGTGATTTACGAGTGTGTTTTAAGGTGCTAATTTTGTAGCCATACGGTGATGATGTGCTTGCAAATATAACTCTACCCGCAACCTTCTGTTGATTATATTTAAGATAATTTTGAAGTATACCTCAAAGCGAGTGGCTAGCGGCAAAATGAAATAATTTAACTTGAATGTAAAAAATAAAAAATTCAATAAATAATAATGTTAATAATTGCCCAACGAGAATGGGGTTCTAGCAATGATTGCATCAGTTACAACTGATACATCATATGTAATATCATTTAGTGACCACCATTGATCTTTTTTCGGAGTCTTTGTACTTTGTCCGTGTCCTCAGTAACTATGGTAAAAGATCATTTCAATGATTTTAGAATGCTAAACATGCCTTTGTTTCGTGGCAATTGATTTACCTCATAGCGTAATAATCATGTTCTTTATTCGAAAACCACCGACAAAAATTATCCCATGCCCAAGCTGCAGTACCTGCTCCATGAATGAATAAAGTTGGTAGATAATTTATATTACAATTAATATTAATAATTAAAATAAATTATATAAAAATAAATAAAGGTTTAAAAGTGTAGATAATGTAAGACTTCAATTTTTATACTTTCACTAGAATTAACGAAAAAAGCATAAAAAAAACGAATGAATGTATATGTTGACATAATATGATTTTTTTTTTGAGGAAGACAATATGGATCAATTGTTTTCATAAAAACAAACAATGACCATATTTGAATGATTTACATTACTATAAACAGTAAATTTCCCGCCTTTTTCATCAACAAAAGTTTATACTAGACTAGTTCCTCTCCGAGCCAGTTCGTGATTTTCGAACAGGTATTCTGAAAATTATCAGCAAATAAAACATTTAAATTATTTAAATTAACATTAGAAAAATTGTCATACAAGTTTCGTAAAGATTTTGTTACAATTTTGCATAAGTGATTTTTAAAGACCATACGGAAATCTATAAAGATTCCAACATGCAGTATTCGTACTACGATATATGATTTAAACCGAATCCATAGATTCTTATTTGTAATGACAAATTATGAAATCTCTTACGTGAAATAGTTATAAAATAAAATGATTCACATACAAAATATTCAGTCCAGCTAAATTTTTTGAAGGTCATGCCCAAGCTTATTGCCGACCCTTTAATCGAAAATATGGTCATTATATAATTAACAAATGAATTTTAAGAAACTTTTTAAATATACTTATAAATATTATTTTCATAATTAAAAAAAAATGAATGCTTTTGTTAATTTCTTATGGTGATTAACTTAATAAAAAAAAGTTTGCTTGTTTATTAATTTAAACATCATCTCATCAAATCAAATAAGTTTATTTAGATCACTTAAAAGAAATTTTTTTTTAAGTTACACCGATCATTCATATGACCAGTGGCTTAGAAATATGTGCATGTTCTACCGAACGCATTTTTTTTTTCTAAAAAAATTTTATCGCTACAGTAAATATTAATTTAAAAAAAAAATAATTAATTATGCAAACTTCCAATAATTCAAATGAATGGATTGAAGAATATCTTTCAGGCAAAGATATCAAATGCTACGAATGCAAACATTTTAGCAATTTTCAAGAGATTGGTACAGGCGGCTTTGGAAAAGTTTATCGTACAAGTTGGAAAACTTCAAAGCAATACCTCGCGTTACAATCATTTCATAACTTTAACAATGACACTGTTAAAGAACTGATTCATGAGGTAGTTACAAAGTCAATATTGCATTTC